GCCGGTTCGCAATTGTCCGTCCCAGGTGTGATAGTGTCCATTGTTCACAAGGGGGCGTCAGAGCGCCGCGGGGGAGTCTTTGATTGTCCGGTGGCAGGAGTCTGTGAGCGAGAGCAGGGTTGTGATCTTTGATCTCTACAGGCAGGCAGAGACAGAGGTGCTTATCCCCGTGGTGACTTTATTGCTCTTTTTGGCATCTGTAATCCCCATGATCAATGATAGTCCTCCGGCTGACCTCGCTGTTCCTTTGAAGCTGCAGTGGGGCGTCTTCCTCCTTTTGGTCGAATGTGTACACAACAGGGCCTGGCTCTGTTTTACGGCCCTGTCCCTTATTTAACCTTACATACCCCCCCCACGGCAGAGATGCACCTTCCGACAAGGTGCATGTCATGTCGGATATGCCGGGCGGGTGTCCCCGGTCGGTCGTCTCGCCTGTTCGGGTGTTAGTGCGTGATTTGTGGTGACATGTTACAACATTCTCGCTTCAATGTGACTCAGCAATTCGCAAGCGCCTAACTGGGGCCAGGCTCGTGGCGGTTGGGTCTCGGGCCTCTGGCTTGGTTTGTCGAGGCCGGGTTTTCTCTAAGGCGAGTCCTGGCCCTGCAGGCTAGTTCTAACCGGGATCAGGGGTTTTAGGGAGTGAGCTCCGGCCGTGAACTCTAAGGTTTGGGCCGGTGCGCCTGACTCCTGGGTCTCTTGGTCTGGAAGACTCAAAGTTCCAAGCCAAGAGAGTAGCAGGAGTTTCTACTTTAGGGGACTAGGATACAAAATAGGAAACTTCAAAAATCAAAAAAAGGGTGGCTGCCTTGGCAGCGGGTAGGAGCGTCGTTAAGGCACTCGATGGTGAGGGGTTCCCATCTTGCTCGTTCTAAAAGGGGAGTGTGAGGGTTACACGAATATATGACGTAGCAAGTGGGGCTTTAATTACGAGGGACATTTCTTGCATATAAATGGGGATGACAGGCATGATTGTCTAGGAGACTGATTAGGTATCGAGGTAGGTTGGTTGGTTCTGAGCTGGTGACTCTTAGTGGTGTTTTAGGCCCTTGGTTCACCTTCCGTGATAGAAAGGGTGACCGCCTCGAGTGGGTGACTTTGGAGGTCCTCGTACTCTGACTCATTGACCTGGGGACGCCGACTCAAATTGCCACGCTCGACGGCGCTGTCGCCCCGGTTTGGTCGTCTACGGATCTGTCTCGTCATTGCCTCCGTGCACCTGTTAAAGCTATCGCGGAGTCGTCTAACCCGTCTATTTAGGACGAAGGCCATGGCTACGACCAGGCCGTACCCGAGTCCTACCGCGATGGCCATGACTGTATCGGGGGCGGCCCAGGAGTAGGCTACTGGTTGGTGGTGGATGGTCGGTCGCTTGGCAATCTCTTGAAGGAGGTTGTCTACGACCGTAACGTCAACGGTTTGTGCCCCCTCGTAGGTGGCTTGGACTAGGGTAGAGGGTTGAAGTTCCAAGGCCCTTTCCTCAAAGAACTCTGGTATCTCGACCTCTGCCTCGTACTGGTTCGGATACAGGTGGTATAATGCCAGGTCGCCTACGTGCAGGATAGCGTCGGCTGGGACGTCGACCCAAAAGGTTTCGTCCGGGAGGCTTACTCGGGACGAGGTGTCGTGTTTGTCATAGGTCAGGGTCGCCGTTCTAAGGGGAGTGTTCACTAGCCAGCGTGCCCCTACAATCTCTGCTCTAGTTTCGGTTATTTGTTTCCGAGAGGTGACCGTCGCGGGGCATCGACTCCCTGGAGTCATGGGCCTCAGGCCGCAGATGCCATCGGTGCTGTCCCTGACGAAAGGTTTGCTGGGGCAGAGGTAATGGATGTCCTTGGTGAGGGTACACATCCTTAGGTTTGGCGTTAGGTATAAATTGGGGTTACTGTCGTGGTAGGCTACTATGTCTGGGGTCTGGACTCTGACGTGTGCATTGTCCCTCCAAGTCCCTAGGTTAGTGATCCCTTTTAGTCGGTAGATTTTGTCGCCGGGAACTATCGGTAGGGTGACTAGAAAGGCTACCTCGCGGTCCAGAGGATTAACATAGATGGGGACTGCAGCGCCCAGCGTGTACGCTAAGTGGGCTTGCATGGGGGTTACGGCGTCCCGTGTGGCTACGGCTAGAATGTTCTCAACTAACGATAGCGGCACGAGGTATGGCGGGATACGGCCCATGGCTAGGTTTTCGATCGAGGAACTGAGGTGACGTAGCATGTCCTCCATCAGTTGGGTGGTCAGCTGAGTATGGGCGTAGTCTAGTTGGAGGACCGCAGCGGAGGTGCGTTTAATCGCAACCTCGTGTGTGTTAAGTACTAGCATGGTTCCTTTTAGGGATTTTCCCAAGGTTACCACGTCGTTCTGTTGTTGGTCAAGTCTGGTTTTGACATCCTCGAGCTCAGAGGCCATTTCTTGTTGGTGGCGTCTGAGGGAGGATAGGCTGATGGCGTTTACCGTGGACATCCCTAAACTAAAGAGGGTGCCCAGGGCGGACGCCGCGCCGAGGAGAGCCCCAATAAATCGTTTGGGTCTGGGGCGAGGGTCACTGAGCTCTGTCCTAGTGATCGTGAACTTCTCTAGTTGCGTCAGCATGTGTTGTATGTCTGCCTCAGCATGTTCCACGACCGTCTGGGTCCAGCGTGCGCCTGCCCAATCTTTGAGTGTGACCTTCAAGGGCAGGTTCTTACGGCAGACTTCACTAGGATTGAGTCTGACAAAGATTCGCTGTGTGTGGAGTCGGACGTCCGTGATGAGGAGCCCGGGTTGTTCCTTTAAAACGATCCCGGAGGCTGGTCCGGTCTCAATAATTTCTGGGGTGCCGAGGCCCAGTATGCAGGTCAGCACGAGAAGGAAAGTGGGCCACATGTTCTGCAAGGCGTGAAACAACTGTTAGGGGTTAGACAGAGACAGAGAAAGAGAGAGTCGATTAGTGCAGCCGAGAAGAGTGTTAGTGGGTGCTGGACTAATCGTGTTTGAGGTCACGTGGTGTGTTCCTAACTGGGGTTTGCGGTGTGCCCTACCTGTCCCATGGGGCTTGGTTTGTGTGGTTTGATTTGGCTGTAACGGGCCCATCTGAGGGTGGGCTCTCTACCTTTTGTGACCTCGATTTGGTGCACTGCGGTTGAGAGTTTGTTTCCCACCCTGTATGGTCTTGACCAGCGGGGTAGCGATTTCCGGCGTAGTCTGGTGGGGCCGGTCCCCGCGTGTCCTGGGGAGTGTGCCAAGGTGTAATACCATACCTGGTTTTTGACCTGGGGGTGGTCCTGCGGGTCGGTCCTGTATTGGTTTGTCCTCAGGCGCCGGGGGAGTTTCACGTTCTCGTCACTCCGGTTTGGGGATACGTACCTTAGTATTTCGGTTGCCGTTCGGTCCGTTGTTTCTACCTGTTGTAGTGCCTGACGTGTGTTGTTTATACCTGTTTGTTTCGCGGTAGGTGCGTCATGGGCGTGTGCCAACATTACCCCCCTCATGCTTCGAGGCACCACGAGTACCGACGAAGTGAGTGTATCGGAAGCAGAATCTAACAGCCCATGGCGTATCGGCATTATTTCTTCATCACGGCCGGGGGTTCCGAGCGTCGTGTCGATCGTGACGTCGAAGGGGCGTTCTAGTGTGGGGTTGTCGTGTCGGAGGGAGGCTAAGTCCGACCTGTCGAGGTCGGGGGCCGTCCCCCCCCAGTCCGGGTAGTCCCGTTGGCCTAGGGTTAAGTCCTGGCGTGCGTCAGGGGGGTCGCCGTGGGGTTGTCCTCCATGTTTGGGGAGGTCCCCGGCGTTCCCATCGCGGGTCACTGGCCATTGTGTCGCAGCATATGCGGACGGCCCAGACTTGGGGCACCGTAAGTCGTGTGGTCCATGTAGCATGTTCAGGTGTGGGCCAGGGGGGTCGTTGTAGGTTTGTCCGCTATGTTGAGGGCGGGCCCTTTCGTCCCAATGGCTGCGGTCTGAAACATGTCTCGTATGGACGTCAGGTGGGCCGGGGTCATGGGTTGGATAGTCATGTTGTCTGTGTCGCATGTCCATGTGTGTTCCCGGAGGGGCGTCGTGGGGGTCGCAGTGGTCGACGTGTCCAATGTTGGGTTGTGTATTGTTCCTATGACCTTGATTTTGGTCCTTTCCCGTCATGATACTTACCAGTTCGGCCACGCTCCTGCGTTCACAGTCGGACGATGGTTCGCCGCGGTCGGAGCGAGGGGAGTGTGGGCCGGAGGTACTGTCACGGCTGGTTCCGTTCAAAATAGCGGTCCTGATTTCCGCTGCGCGATCAAGATCCATGGTCGCGCTTGGAGTCATGCTCAGTCCCTGTTGGTGGTCTCTACTTACCTGTGGGATATGTTGTAAGCGGGTCGCGGCGGATTTCCTAGTTTCCGCCAGTTGTCGTTCCAGGTCACTCACTGTGTTTTGGAGCCTTGCTTTCTGGGCTTCGGAGTCGCGCAAGGTTATCCTGGAGATTATGGCCAGTCGTCCTAGCCACTGGGTTAGGGTCTTACCTTGGAGTTTCGTCGTAGTAGCTTCGGATGCTAATCTGGAGGTAGCATCTTGTAAGTCAGAGAGTGAGCTGTGCTCAAGCGTGTCGTAGCCCCCTGGGAATAACTTCTCTGTGAGGTCTCGCAGAAAGTTATCCACTATGCCGTGTCCTTCTGAGACACCGTCGTGCCTGCTCGGTCGTGGCGAGTTTCCGCCATCGATTTCCATATTTGTGTGGGTGAGTGTATGCGAGTATGACTTGGAACGTGTGTGTACGACACGGTGGGAGGAGGGAAAGGAGGAAAGCAGTGCTATAGAGAGGGTAGTTTAGCTGTTGGTCGTGTGGTGGTGTAGACCTTGGTGTGTGTCAAAACCGTGACTACAGCGTCCTCTCCGTGTGGCGGTGTATGCGAGTAGGCGGCCTAGGGCAGGGGCCGGGCGTTAGTACTTCTTCACCTGTGTGTCAGCGGAGAGCGTTGGGGTTAGTGGCGTTGGCGCACGTAGGGTTAGCAGTGGCGCCAGCAGCAGTATTAGGGCGCGGCGTTAATCCGCAGCGTGAGATGCACCTGCGTTTGTTCTCGCACTTGCGTTTGTCGCGCACTTGCGTTTGTTCTCGCACTTGCGTTTGTTCTCGCACTTGCGTTTGTTCTCGCACTTGCGTTTGTTCTCGCACTTGCGTTTGTTCTCGCACTTGCGTTTGGTCTCGCACTTGCGTTTGGTCTCGCACTTGCGTTTGGTCTCGCACTTGCGTTTGGTCTCGCACTTGCGTTTGGTCTCGCACTTGCGTTTGGTCTCGCACTTGCGTTTGGTCTCGCACTTGCGTTTGGTCTCGCACTTGCGTTTGGTCTCGCACTTGCGTTTGGTCTCGCACTTGCGTTTGGTCTCGCACTTGCGTTTGGTCTCGCACTTGCGTTTGGTCTCGCACTTGCGTTTGGTCTCGCACTTGCGTTTGGTCTCGCACTTGCGTTTGGTCTCGCACTTGCGTTTGGTCTCGCACTTGCGTTTGGTACGCACTTGCGTTTGGTACGCACTTGCGTTTTGGGCCGCGGCGTAGCTTTAGACGCAGCTCAAGTAAGCAGTAGCAAAAAGGCAGCAGGCTGAGGCAAGGTAATGCAGTTTTAGCGACAGTGAGGGTTAGAAATAGAGTATTAGTTTTGATGTAGTACAAGGGGGTGGGAGTGCAGTATCTGTCAGATCACACACCGGTGTGGTTCAAGAATAACGCGCATCAAGCAGGAGCAGAAGTACAGAATAGGATTAGTTACCACGGTAATGTGTTATTCATAACGTGCAGTAACAGAGGCAGAACCAGATTATTAGCTTTTGTTATGTATAGCAGTAACGTGTTCTAATAGCAACATGCGCTAGAAGTAGCAGAGTTACAGTATGAAACTTTGGCTAACGCAGTAATGTAGCCTAACAATTATGTTTAAGAGGAGAAGCAGAAACAGAGCGTTAGCTTTTGTTATGTATAGCAGTAATGTGTTCTAATAGCAACATGCGCTAGAAGTAGCAGAGTTACAGTGTGAAACTTGGTCAACGCAGTAATGTAGCCTAAAGGCGCGTTCAGACCAAAAGCTTCAAAAAGCTTTTGACGCGCTTCAACTGACGCCGGGATAGTTTTGTCCTTTTGGTGCTTAAAGCTTTTGACGCGAGTGACGCGCCTGACGCCGGTGGGAGGAGCTTCTCTGTTGTCTGTAGTCAGAACAGCGGTGGATTTTTCAATGAGCAGCGAGCCTTTATTTGTTATATAAAGCAAAATAACGTTGTTGTAGGGCTTCAACAAAACATGTTCTGGGTTCACCACAGACTTGAGAGGCTTCAGTGTTTGCAGAGTTCCGTCATTTACTCCAGGAGCTGCGTACGGAGGAGTTTCGCTTTCAGCGGTACTTCCGCATGTCACTCGCCCAGTCTGAGTTCTCAAACCCCGGAGCTCGCCTCTCCCTGCCTCTCCCTGCCTCTCCCCGGCTCTCGCTCGCCTCTCCCCGGCTCTCGCTCGCCTCTCCCCGGCTCTCGCTCGCCTCTCCCCGGCTCTCGCTCGCCTCTCCCCGCCTCTCCCCGCCTCTCCCTGCCTCTCCCCGCCTCGCTCTCGCCTCTCCCTGCCTCCCCCTGCCTCCCCCTGCCTCTCCCCGGCTCTCGCCCGCCTCTCCCTGCCTCTCCCCGGCTCTCGCTCGCCCGGAGCTGCCTTGCTCTGAGCCAGACTCATCGTCAGCCTGTTCTTATTTTAAATAAACTATGTTTACTACACAGCATGTGTACAATGATTTTTGTTACTCAGAATTTTACTACTCATACAAATAATATTACTAATAACAATAATGACAATAAAACAGCAGCAGCAGATACATGACTTCTCTTCATGACAGAGACAGACCCTCTGCTGCTGCTGCTCCTCGTCTCCTGATTGGTTGAAGCCCGCGTCAAAGCTTCAAAAGCTCAGCTTTGCTCAACTTCGGCGTCAAAGGGATTGTTGTGATACGCGAGCGTTTCGCGCGTCAAAAGCTTCAAGTGAGCGCGTAGTACGCGCGAGTCTTGAAGCTTTTGACGCGCGTCAAGTGACGCCGGGGCTCTCGGCTTCACCTGACGCGCTTCACCATTCACTTTCAATGGAAACCTGACGCTTTTGACGCCGAAGTTAAGTCCGGTGTGAACGCCCCTTAACAATTATGCTTAAGAGGAGAAGCAGAAGCAGAGTGTTAGCTGTTGTTACGTATAGCAGTAATGTGTTCTAATAAAAACAATATGACATGCAGAAGGGGGCGGAATTAAAATGATTCGTTTCAGTGTAGTACAATCAAACATAGAGTGGTTATTAGTTTGAGCAACAAAACAGCATGGAACAACAGCTAGACCGTGTTAATGTTACCACCATGGGCAGCAGTGTGGTCTAGGCGTGACATGCAGAAGGAGGGGCAGGATTAAAATTATTAGTTTTAGTTTAGTGCAAGGAGGGGCGGAATTAGCGTATTAGTTTAGTACAATCAAACATCAAGTTTGGCCAAGTAATGTGTTATTAGTTGGAACAGAAACAGCACGGGACAATAGCCAAAACGGTGTTAATGTTAGATCCACATTCACAGATGATTAAAGACGGGGTGCAGAATGGAGTGTCAAGACAGCAGCAATGTGGTCCCGGAAGTAGTGCCGGGACCGGAAAGCAATTTTGTGTTAGACAATAACAGAGGTGCGGCTCGTTTAGCAGTGTGCCGAGACGGCTGGCGCCTTATGATCGTCAAAACACAGAATCAGAGTGAGATAGGGTAGTATGCAAGTATAGTAAGTGGTGTTATTGTTAGACAACAGGTAGACAATGCAGCAGAATGGTATTAGCAGTGGGGATGCGGCTCTGGCTTTTAGCGCGCCAGGGCCGGAAGTTAGCCGTATGCTAAAAACAAAGGAGCGTAGCTAGCATGTAGCTTGCCGGCAACGGGACATTTTGGCAGCAGTGTAGGCAATAAACAATGAGTTTTGGTGACCGAATGCAGTTCGGTTAAGCAGAGTGGCACTAGTTTTAACGGTAGAGAAGCAGCGTATAGTGGGAGCAGTAGTAGGAGCAACGGCGTTGTCAGAGTTAGCTTTGAGGCTAGTGGGGCCCGGGCGGAAGTTTAGCCTTATGCTAGAACAAAGGAGGGTAGCTAGCCCTTAGCTTTCGAGCGTGGCACGTTTTAGCAGTAGTTTATACACGAGAGTCTGGAGCGAGTTATATAGTTCGCGCAAGCACGTAATCACAGTGGTGGGATGGCGTTTGTCTGTATTGTGCAGTACAGTCTTGGGGTGTGTATGTACGACAGCAGAGTAGCAGGAGGAAGAGTGGTGAGACAGAGTTAGCGTTAGCCACCTTTAGCGGGACATTAGCATCACATTCACACAGCTGCCATTTACAGCCTTTTACACAGATATACTCGGTTAAAATCCTGTGTGACTTGGGTCACAAGGGACACAGAGTAGATCCGTACACCCGTGTTCTGGACACGGTGTACAGTGGAGTTATAAGAATAAGGTTTTGCGCTTTCTCTTCAGAGGGGAGCGACTTTCACAGACTCATGCTGCCTGACTGGCCTAGACAGGGCAAAACGTTGGAGAGAATGTGTAGTACCTGTGCAAAAGCCAGGGTTTTGAGACTAAATTAATAGTCTGGTGCATGCACGAGACGCTTTTATCGCAAGCGTGGGGCGTAGGGGAGCTCGATTGCCGTTGAAGTCACTATAGCAACGGGGGTAGCAGGGATGTGGGGGGTGCGGGAGTGGGGGGAAACGCTTTGAGCGGAGCAGCAGTTTAAGTTAGCGTATTGCAGATCAGTCACAGAGTACGAGTCGATAAATCTGGTCTATATTCGCGGATCTCACAAACAGGGTACCAATACTGTAGGGTAAACTACTTATATGTAGGGTAATAATACTACAGATTATGTTATAAATTTAGTATGAATTTGGTAGCGTGGAGCGGCTAGTCTCCGGAGCGGAAGCTCGCCGTTCCACCAACAGGTCTGTGTTATTTATTTTGGGCACCAGCAGAGTTAGAAATCTGCACACAGACACACCAAATCTTTGCCTCGATCAGTCTTATGAATCTAATAGGTAGTGAGTACTTTTATCGGCCAGTGATATTCCGAGATCTAACAACACGACTCTGACGGGGTTGAGTTAAAGAAAAGGGTTTTATTGATTACAAAAGTGAAGGTAAAAATATAACGAAGGGGATTTCTGGTCACATTAAAGCAGAAGTGGTATACATTTCATTCAAATCGCACATTTAACAAAGAACAGTCTTACTTTGAAGGAGCGTAGAGGGAGGTGGGTGACTGGGATGAGGATGGAGTGGAGGATGAGAATGAAGAATAGGGTGGAGGCGATGTCGTCCACGTGGTTTCTTTGTCCGGGCAGGCGGGAATTATGAAGCCAGCGACGGCAGTCCAACTTTGGATCCAGGCGTGCACACTCAGTCCGGAATGAGTCACGTGCGCAGAGTCCAGAGCCAGGGCCGGCTGGTGATGAAGAGTTCATAAATCCCAACCAGAAAATAGGTTTGCTTGAAAGGGAAAGTCTCGATGCGGACGGGCACAGTCGTTGCTGGAGGCCCGTACTGGTGCCGCCGCAGAGTCGATAGGGAGGTTGCGATAGTGATTTCAGGAGAAGACAAGAGGTCGTTCTATGGCATTGTTCGTGTTTATATTGACTTCCCAGGGGGCGTGTCCATGCCGCCCCTGCCCTCTGTGGACAGACCCCTTTTACAACAGACAGTTTGTAAAGGAAACACACAGGATTGATGCTAATAATCATAAGACATGTACAAACACACACCGTATTTCATTACTTTGACATTGATACACACATATGGGGCACAATGCAGATTATTGGAGTACTGGACCCAGGGGTGCCGGTTCGCAATTGTCCGTCCCGGGTGTGATAGTGTCCATTGTTCACAAGGGGGCGTCAGAGCGCCGCGGGGGAGTCTTTGATTGTCCGGTGGCAGGAGTCTGTGAGCGAGAGCAGGGTTGTGATCTTTGATCTCTACAGGCAGGCAGAGACAGAGGTGCTTATCCCCGTGGTGACTTTATTGCTCTTTTTGGCATCTGTAATCCCCATGATCAATGATAGTCCTCCGGCCGACCTCGCTGTTCCTTTGAAGCTGCAGTGGGGCGTCTTCCTCCTTTTGGTCGAATGTGTACACAACAGGGCCTGGCTCTGTTTTACGGCCCTGTCCCTTATTTAACCTTACAATTGTAAACCATATTACTCCCCTCGTGAAATTGTTTCATTTATTCTTGCCTCTGTTTACATACCGCCATGCGCTGACGCGCGCGAGGCTCAGCGCGCACTCGCAGAGCAAGTACTGTGTATGGAACGTTTATACCCGGACTCTCTGATTATTATCCTGGGGGATTTTAATGAGGGAAACTTGAGCCAGGAATTACCCAAATACAGACAGTTTATCAAATGCCCGACCAGAGAGGAGAACACTCTGGATCACTGTTACAGCACCGTGCGCGGAGCTTTTCGCGCTGTTTCCAAGCCAGCCCTCGGCTTCTCAGATCACTCCATGATACATCTGGTTCCTGCTTACAGACAGAGACTCAAGCTCTCGAAACCTGCAGTGAGGAGCTCCAAAGTGTGGTCTGATGAAGCTGTGGAAGAGCTGCGCGCATGCATGGAATCTACAGACTGGGACCTTTTCAGAGCTGCCACAGATAGTTTGGATGAATACACGGACACTGTGACGTCATACATTCACTTCTGTGAGGATAGCATCATTCCAACAAGGACCAGGGTCATCTATAACAACGACAAACCCTGGTTCACTGCTAAACTCCGGCAGCTCAGGAAAGCAAAGGAGTCTGCTTTCAGGGAGGGGGACCGCAGCGGCTACAAAGCAGCTAAATATCAGTTCAGGAAAGAACTGAAAGCAGCCAAGTCCCGGCACAGAGAACGACTACAAGAGCAGTTTGGTAACAACGATACTGCTTCTGTCTGGAGGGGCCTACGGGAGATCACCAACTACAAACCCAAAGCCCCCCCCTGTGCTGACGACCACAAGCTAGCTGACGAACTGAACTTATTTTTCAGTCGCTTTGATGCTGCCCCTGACACCTCTCCCTCCCCCACCCCCCACTACTCTAACGACCCACCCATCAGCCCTGCCCCCAGCCTAACAATAGCCACTAAAGAGATTAAACAACTCTTCTTGAGGCTGCACCCCCGCAAAGCTCCTGGCCCGGACCACGTGTCTCCGGCCACTCTGAGACACTGCACCAGTGAGCTTACTCCTGTGTTCACGGACATTTTCAACACCTCTCTGCAGTCCTGCCATGTCCCGGCCTGCTTCAAATCCTCCATCATTGTCCCCGTCCCGAAGAAGCCCAGGATCACAGGACTCAATGACTACAGACCTGTAGCACTTACGTCTGTCGTCATGAAGTCATTTGAACGCCTGGTTCTCTCCCATCTCAAGTCCCTCACCTCCCCCCTCCTGGACCCCCTGCAGTTCGCCTACAGAGCCAACAGATCTGTAGACGACGCCATTAACCTGGCCCTCCACCACATCCTACAGCACCTGGACTCCCCGGGGACCTACGCCAGGGTCCTGTTCGTGGACTTCAGCTCTGCCTTCAACACAATCCTGCCATCCCTGCTCCAGGACAAGCTCTCCCAGCTCAACGTGCCCGATTCCACCTGCAGGTGGATCACTGACTTCCTGACGGACAGGAAGCAGCGAGTGCGTCTGGGGAAGAATGTCTCGGACCCTCGGATTATAAATACAGGAGCCCCACAGGGCTGTGTTCTTTCTCCCTTGCTCTTCTCCCTGTACACCAACCACTGCACCTCCAGCCACGACTCCGTGAAGCTGATCAAGTTCGCGGACGACACCACCCTCATTGGACTCATCTCCAACAGCGATGAGTCCGCCTACAGGAGGGAGGTGGACCGGCTGGTGTCCTGGTGCAGTGGTAACAACCTGGAGCTGAACGCCCAGAAGACAGTGGAGATGATTGTGGACTTCAGGAAGAGCACTGTCCCCCCCGCCCCCACCCTCCGTGATGGACTCCCCCATCACCTCTGTGGAGTCCTTCCGTTTCCTGGGCACCACCATCACCCAGGACCTCAAGTGGGAGCCGACCATCAGCTCCCTCATCAAGAAGGCCCAGCAGAGGATGTACTTCCTGCGGCAGCTCAGGAAAGTCAAGCTGCCTGCACAGATGTTGGTGCAGTTCTACACGGCCATCATTGAGTCCATCCTCACCTCCTCCATCACCGTGTGGTTCGCTGGAGCCACTGTCAGGGACAAACAGAGACTACAGCGCATTGTGCGCTCTACAGAGGAAGTGATCGGCCGCAGCCTTCCATCGCTGCAGGACCTGTACGTCGCCCGAGCTCGAGGCCGGGCTGGTCGTATCACAGCCGACCCCTCTCACCCTGCACATGGACTATTCCAACCACTCCCCTCAGGCAGGAGGCTGCGGTCCATCAGGACTAGAACCTCCCGCCACAAGAACAGTTTCTTCCCCTCTGCTGTTGGACTCTTGAACACTTCTTAACCTGTCCCCCCGCCCTTTATAAAGTCACTTTACTGCCCATCATACGTCACTTTACTTCACTGTACTGCTGTCACCTTACATTGTGTGCACCATATGCACTTGCATATTGTAAATAGTAACTGTAACTCTATTTTAAATTTAAATTTATTCTTTAGAAGTGTTTTTTATTCTTATTTTTATTATCTCTTTTTGACTGTTGCACTGAGCCAAAGCAATTTCCAAGTCTGTGACCTCCTGTTACTTACGTGGCAATAAAAATGATTCTGATTCTGATTCTGATTAAAGGAGCAATATACTGTTTACAAATCTGGCCAAAAGTGGTACTGCACTCTCTCTGACTCAGGTTCTATAACCAACACCTTTTTCACAAAGGCCGCAATAGAAATCCTCGTTTTGTTCCTTGTTTTGTCATTAATTAACTTAATTAATTAACTTTTTTAGTACAGCGGCCACATGTTAATCTACCAATGAGATTAGTTTGATGTCTTTAGTTCTGGCAACATGGCTCCCAACTTTCTGATTGGTAAAACGGTGGAGGGCGAGACATCGAAATGAAAACAATAACAAGATTTAGGGGCTGTAAATTCAAATTTGAATCCCCCGGCTGATCTACTGAATCAGTTAAAGAAGTGTCCAAAAAGAGCATGATTTATTAATTCCTTTTACATAATAGGGCCATTTAATGATGACTTGACATGAAAATCTTACATAATGTTACTTTATTGATAACCAGAATATAGGATTTGTTATTAAAAGACCACATCTAATGATAGAAAACATGTATTTGAAATCCCATACACTAACAACTGAGAATATACAAAGACAAAGACATATAAAGAGAAATATCTTGCACCGTTATTACTGTTTTTCCAGTTAGTTTGTACATTTAACCACCAATGGATGAGTTTCCCGGTGAAAGGTTTATTCTGGTGCTGCTCTGCATAATGAAAGCAGAAGTTACTGTCACTTTCTGATCTGTGTTTTATGCTTACAGAGTATCCGCCACCTCCAGAAGAGCTAAGCACTCTGCCAGCGTCACTTGGAACCTTCCCTCCTCCACCGCCAGAGAACTCATATGACCCCTTCCAGGTTAGCATGTTAAAGCCCTACGTCTCTTCTTCCATTTAGGGTTTAAGTTAGTGTAACACTGTAGTGTTGTAGAATGCAGGTGAGCTTCAATAACAAAGCCAGACAGTCAGTGTGGGTCCAACAGCCCTATGGCAGCTTTTATTTACATTACACAAATATATCTATTATAAACAGCAAATGGGACTATTGAACTAAAACAGTGAAACTTGAAGCTGGGGTGAGGGGCAGTCTATATGAAAAGCAAACACAAGTAAACAGAAATCCATCCCCATAACAGAAATCACGATAAACATACAGTACATGTGCCAGCTCCACCAAAAACTACAAACAAGGCCACCACTTAAAGTGAACCCTGTCACCCCAGCTATCAACAAAGTAACTTTACACAAACTAAAATATGCAAAACCTAAATATAAAGTAAACAGCAACCAGCACTGGGCCTCAACAAGACTGGACTGTTGTGACCCAAAGTCTGATATGAACAGGCGGGCTCAGGAAGAGGAAGTGAGCCCTGGATGCCTGTATTTTAAAGACTTGGTCATGTGACCAGGCCACACCCATGACCACACCTACACCAGCCACATTAGGAAAAAACTCTACTTTTTTGTCTTTTGAACTGCTCTTGACAGGTGGAGCTACTACTATGTTAGTTTATTCTTCTTTTGTGATATATTTTTTAGAATCAATTTCTTATTTGATTTTTGCATTCTATTTGGTCTCATCACATATTGACTCTTATATATATATTTTGTCATTCATTTTCATCCAAAAAATATTCTCATTAATATCCCTTTTGTACTCCGGGGAACAACCATACATCCAAGGGGAACAACTCATAAAATGTAAAAAACACTTTCTGTGTGGAACTTTCTAGTTTTACTTCTACTGTTTCTTTAAAAACTGCTTCCTGATTGAATGTAATAAGTTTAAAAGTGTTTTAATGTTTAAGGAAGATTCTTCAATAAAAAAACAGAAGTGTAAAAAAACTAGTCAGGTAATATAACTTCAATAAGTGTAAAGCGGGACGGTGGCTGAGTAGACAGCGCTCTCACTTCTCAGCAAGAAGGTTCTGGGTTCCAATCCAGGAACAGGGGCCTTTTTGAGTGGAGTTTGCATGTTCTCCCTGTGTCTGCGTAGTTTTCCTCTGGGTGCTCCGGGTTCCCCCACCATGCATAATAGGTAAATCCTCCAGCTCCGGTAGTCCTGACCAGGCCGAGCATCAACATCTGGAAATAGGTTCCCGACCTGACTTAGTGGTCTTAGTGGCATCAGGATGGGTCAAATGCAGAGGACAATGTTCCCTACGGGGATAAATAAAGTGCATTTTTGCAATCATTTATTTATTGTTCTAACCCTGCGTCCTGATAAGTGCAAAACTATAATATGTATTCACAACGTGCCAAATAATCACGTAATGAAGAGAGGCATATGAGGACATGAGCAGAGAAGGCTCATATAGACACTTTATAAAATATGTTTTAAAATATATTTCTGTAGTGTTATTTCAGTTTCATATTCCAACCAAATCCACTGAGATGTCTCGTTATGAACACATGTTTTAGTTTTATTTCTGTGTAGAAGAAGCAGACTATTGTGAATCCTCAACAACTTTTCATTCACTCTTTTCACTTTTCACGATTGAACATAAACTAGCTCGAGTCAATATCCTTTTATGGGCATTTATTCCGACGACGTTAGCTTTGCACCATAACGAGTGCAGACGTGTTGCTAAGATGGTTGCTATGGCGAGAGAATCATTATATGGCTAAATTATAATTTAGCCGGCTTCCGGTTTGCCCTGCGTGCAGCCAAGTGCTTGTCTAAAAGTTTGACTGTTAAATTGTGGATTGCTGCTTTAACTGTGATTGTCACTGACATTACCGCTTGGATTACGTTGCGCTAAAACAATCTAATAAACCATGCCGCCTAAGAAAGGCCCTACACCGGAGGATTTTGAGGAAATCAAATCCTCACTTGACTTCCTTACCGGGGAAATGAAAGCTGTCAGGACGCAGCAGGCCCAACTCCTGTCACTGCTGGAGTTGGTTAACACCCTGCGCATCCAAAATGAAGAGAAGGACCGCCGCATCGAGGATTTGGAGCGGCGAGTTGACGATATGGAGCAGTACAGTCGGATTAACGACCTAATTATTTCTGGAATTAAAACCAAACCGCGCTCGTACGCGCGCGCGGTGGCCTCTGACGCGATCGGTGGGCAGCCCAGTGAGGACGAGACTGCCTCCGTGGAGCAGCAGGTGGCTTCCTACCTCCACTCCAGGGGGATAGAGCTGGACCTGGACCACGTTGAGGCTTGCCATCCCTTGCCCTCCCGGAACAACGAGCGCCCAGCCGTCATCATGAGGTTTGTGAGCAGAAAGAACAAGGTAGCGCTACTTAAGCAAGGACGCAAACTCAAAGGAACAAATGTCTTCATAAATGAACATTTAACCAAAAAGAACTCGGACATTGCACGCATCGCCAGACAACTGAAAAAACAACAGAAGATTCAGCACACTTGGGTTTCAAACTGCAAGGTCTTTATAAAACTAAATGGGTCCCCAGAAGCAAAGGTGCTGGTCGTAAGAAGGAAAGAAGAGCTGGACAAATTCAACAGTTAAAAAGGTATCAACACTATATCATACTTGGAGAACTATATGGTGAACATGACTGATACACCTGAACAATCAAACAACAATGATCTGGACATGCTGCAGCTAACTCTTCTTTACAAACAAATGGAACTGGAAACATTTAAGTACATGGACTCACAACATTTATCAGATATTGACCCGGACAACAATTTGTTGTCTACATTTGATTGGAATTGTAATTACTTCACACAGGATGAATTTAATAAAAACATAAACACTGCAGGAAAATTATCAATAATACATTTCAATAGTAGAAGTATGTACGCCAACTTTAGTGGTTTAAAAGAGTTTTTGCAACAATTTGTCAATCCATTCAGTATCATTGCCATTTCAGAAACTTGGATCAATCCACATAAACATAATGATTTTTACTTAGATGATTATGATTTTATATGCATAAACCGAGATAAGAAAACGGGAGGTGGAGTAGCCTTCTTTATTCATAAATCGATTTCCTTTAAGATCTTGCCAAATATGTCTCTTGCTATTGCTGACTTAATGGAATGCCTAACGATAGAAATCCTCAACGAAAAGAGCAAGAACATAATTATAAGCTGTGTATACCGATCACCTGCATCAAATATAGATGACTTCACTGAATGGATGGACAAATTATTTTGTCCTACAAACAAAAAAGAATTATTCATTTGTGGTGATTTTAACATTAATTTACTCAATCTAGCAAAACATAAGGCCATAGCAGACTTTTCTGACACCATGTGTAGCATATCTTTATATCCAACCATAACCAGACCGAGTAGACTAACAGTACATAGTGCCACACTGATTGACAACATATTTTCCAACACAATAGAGAAACCGATCACCAGTGGCTTGTTAATATGTGACATTTCTGATCATCTGCCAGTCTTCCTCCTGTGTGACTGTGACCTTGTATACAACACAAAAACTGATCCTAAGGAAACTTACAAACGAGAGAGAACTGAAGTAAATTTGAATGCCTTTAAAAATAGCTTAAATGAACAGGATTGGAGCTTAGTTTTAACTGAGACAAATGTAAATGTTGCATATGATACATTTCTGAAAATATTTCTTTCCTTGTATGATATACACTGTCCCATGAAATTGTGGCATAAAAAAATAAACAAAAAAAAAGTCCCTGGCTCACAAGAGGAATCCTTAATTCTTGCAATAAGAAACAACATCTTTACAAATTGTTCATTAAGTTGAAGACCACTCAATCCAATGCAAAAGAAACTGAAGAAGCTGAACGCAAGTACAAGACATATAAAAATAAATTAACAAATATAATGCGCCTTAGTAAGCAATTATATTATGGAAGAACTCTAGATGTGAACAAAAATAATATAAAGAAAACCTGGGACATACTAAATGGACTAATAAAACAAGGATCAACAAGAAAAGTGTATCCAGATTACTTCGATGACATCGATGGTGATAAGCATAATATTAACAACATAGTAAATGGTTTTAACAGTTTTTTGTAAACATTGGTCCACAGCTTTCCGACAATATCTCTAATGAAAGTAATAGCCTAAGTATCAATCCAATTTCACTTAATCCTCATTCAATGTTTCTTGTTGCATCCAATGAACATGAAGTAAAGGAAGTTGTTCTTAAATTAAAAAACAAATTCTCCACAGATTGTCACGGTATTGACATGGCACTTGTGAAAAATGTAATAAACAATATTGTCAAACCCTTAACTCATATATGCAATCTCTCTCTCCAGTCTGGATGTTTCCCAAATAAGATGAAAATAGCTAAAGTCATACCAGTATTTAAAAATGGAAATAAACACTGTTTCACAAATTACAGACCAATCTCTCTATTACCACAGTTCTCAAAAGTTTTGGAAAGAATTTTCATCTCTCGGTTGGAAACATTTGTTGACAAACATAACCTCTTAAACAACAGTCAGTATGGATTCAGAGGAAAAAGAACCACTTCAATGGCCATAACTGAAGCAATAGAAGAAATAACAAATTCTTTGGATCAGAAATTACACACTATAGGAATCTTTATCGACTTAAAAAAAGCCTTTGATACAATAAATCACTCAATGCTGCTGGATAAATTACAAAAATATGGTATCAGGGGTGTCGCTGGAGAATGGCTCTGTGATTATTTAACTGGTAGAGTACAGTTTGTTCACATGGGGGATCATGTCTCTGAAAATCTTGGCATTACTTGTGGTGTCCCCCAGGGGTCAGTGTTGGGTCCCCATGCTGTTTAACCTCTATATCAATGACATATTCGAAGTATCGCAGTCACTAAAACTAGTTCTTTTTGCGGATGACACTAGCATTTTTTGTAGTAGTCCTGACTGCAAACAACTTATTGATACTGTGGATGTTGAACTGACCA